GAGTCTAGTGGTGAGTCCCGTTCCCATCTGTGCAAGAGCGTTTTCCCAATCTGTTGTGGAGGCCGGGCTGCCTTATACCCTCCTTTGACCGTATAATCCCATATATGCAGGCTTTGTTGGCCCGTCCATTCCCATTCATCCGGGTACAATGGGAGCAGAGCCACGGGTGTGGCCGACTTATACGCCTGGAATCCTTTGACCTGGTCCCCCACCACTCTGATATTAATCAACCCAACCCACGAATCTGTAATGTCAGAGTCCGCATCCCGGTTGAGTTGGGAGAGCCGCTTCCCCGGGGCGTGCAGGGCAAAGGCTTCCAGTGTGCAGTTCCCCCCGTTTCTGTCGCTAACTCTGTACACTTTATCCGGCTGTGGCAGATCAACATGCCTGACCACCCAATCGTGCGGGCAAATCGTCGGGCCTGTTTTGAGAGTCTGCTGCCAGGCTACTGGAAGTGCATCGACGAGTTGGCCAGCCTTGTCTTCGATGTTCCTTACATGTTTCAGCTTAGCACGCAGGCTGGCCGGCGAGAGTCATTTCTGTTCGACCTAATCCCAGAGGTCACCCACTGTATAGATCCCTTTTTTCGCCCAGCCCAGCCACGACGAGTTGGTTGTGAGTACAAAGGGCCCCCCCTCTTCATTCAGGATAAGAGGGTTTCCGGATAATGGCTACCGCCACACAGTGTGCCACCTGTTAGGCGTGCGTTTTTGTTTGGGGCCTCGCTGCCTCCATAACTTAATCATGGTCGTCCAGAGGGGGTCATTGTGAATGTCTGCCTTGTGATATGTGCTGCACCACCGGCTTGTGACTGTCGGCAAGGGTTTGGGATCGACCAGCGGTTATTGGTGAGCCATCGAAACGGATGTATGTGACTGGGGGGCATTGTGTCCAGCGCCAGTCTAGCTATCTGTACGCAGGCTAGGGGTCCCCATGGAATATCTTTCCCTACAAGGAGTCTGGTTAATACTTTAAACATCATAGCGTCAGTCTCCCTCTGAGGGTCAAGTATCCCCATCCCTCCTACAAATCTCGGTTGTGTGAGAGTATCCCATCCGACCCTGTTCAAGCACCCGCCCTTTGTTGCGCTGTTCTTCCATAGATATGTTGTGAGCGCTTTCTTTAGTCGGGTGTGTTGTTGCGGTGTCAGCGGCCACACCGCCAGTTTGTACCATATAGCTGCTAGGACGACATTGTTGATTGCAATGCACGTCCGACCAGCGATGTGTGCAGCCCCTCCCATCTTGCAAGGCGGTTGATGGCCAGGTTCACAAGGTTGTCTCCATGGTCCACCGGGGGTCCCATTGCTGTTAGCTTCACCCCCAATATCCTAATAGCATCTTCTTTCCTCGCCCACGCGACGCACGAGGTTGGTGGTGGGGGCACGTCTAGGGGGTGGACCCACCAGCCCTCTGTCTTTGAGCCCCAATTCACTTTCATGTCCGCTGCCAGTGAAAAGAGGTGTATAGTTTGGGAGAGGGCTTGCAGACTGTCCCGATCCGCTCGTATGAGGACCATGAGGTCATCTGCAAACAGCGAAGTTACCGGGACAAGGCGATCCGGAATCTCCGGGATCGTTATTTTACTGATTTTTGGGTGGGCTCTGATCAGCGCTGCAAGAGCCTCCATGACTATAACAAAAAGCAACGGTGCGATGGGATCCCCTTGGCGTACCGATCTGTGCAATCTGATCAGTGCAGAGAGGTGGTCATTGAGCATAATGTTTGTGGAGTCCGATCTGTGGAGGGTTTGGACCCATTGGCAAAAACGGGAACCGAAATTCATTTTTGCTAGGCACATATCCAGGAAGTCCCAATTGACATGGTCATAAGCTTTCTCAAAGTCTATGAACAGTATGGCTGCTTGGACTCTGCGCTGACGTGCATATTTCATAGTCTCGTTGACCAGCAGGATGTTGTCCTGGATGTTGCGATTCGGCATGAATCCCATTTGATCCGGGTGGATTAGCAGGTTCATGTGCGGCAGCAGGCGAGTGGTGAGAGCTTTGGCCACAAGTTTGTAGGGGACCGGGAGGAGCATGATAGGCCTATAATTTCTAATGTCCTCCTTATCTCCCTTTTTGTAGAGGAGCGTCGTAACCCCTTGACCAATCATACCCCCAAAGGAGCCTTCCTCTTGAACAACTCTTATGTAATCCATGAGGTCGTCTTTGAGGAGGTCCCAGAATGAGATCCAGAACTCTTTTGGGAAAGAGTCAATCCCAAGTGTTTTCTCATCGTCCATGTCCTGCAAGGCCCCCCACACCTCTTCCTGTAGCAGCGGCCTATCCAAATCCTCTTTTTGTTCCTGCGTCAAGCGCGCGTGCAGAGTGCGAAGCAGCTCATCCCTGGCCCCCCGGACGTCGTCGGGGTTTTTTTGGGGTGTAGCCGATGTGAACAGGTCCTTGTAGAATGTGGCTGCGTAGTCGGTGATTGCATAAGCGTTCGTAGCAGCCGGAGCACTATCATCTAGGGGGTGCCTGAGCCGCGGGACAGCTGAGGCCCGCGTGCGAGCTTTTGCTTTATTGAAGAAGGACCTCGCCATTGTCCCGTCGATGTGTTCTTTTTTTATTCTAGCCTGTATCCTCCATGCCTGCGATTGCCTTTCCAGGTAGGCCTGGAGGTGGTCTCTTGCTGCTTGCAACTTTTCGAAGGAGGGGGTGTGTTGGAGATCCTCTGTGATGGCGTCGTCCCATTCTTCAAGCTCCCGCATTAGGCGGTCGATTATCGCCTTGCGGTCTTTGGCCGTCTGTATGGAAAATTTCTTAGCCCTGTCTCGCAGTTGGGCGATCCCATCATTGAACCAGGCCACTGTACGGCCCGCCTTCGGTTGCGGTCTTATGGAGTGCCAGTATTGCCAAAACTCCCGCACCATTTCCTGGAATTTGGTGAGCTGCAAGTTGAGCTTATAGAAACCCGGGCCTCTTTGGATTTGAGTATGGAAGGAGAGGCCCAGGGTTATCATTCTATGGTCAAAGGATTTACACGGGCTGATTGCAGCAATTTCAGCAGTCGTAGTCAAGCCCATCAGTTCCTTTGACACCAGCCCAAGATCAATTCGCGAGTTGCCCAAGCCCCGGGTGCCTCTGGAGGATAAACAGGTGAAGGTTTTTTGTGTCGGGTGCAATATTCTGTATGCATCTTCTAGTTCCCTGTCTGCCATCAGCTGTTTCAGCATCAGTATGTCCAGGCCCAGGTCGGGCAACGAAGGGGGTTCCGGATCCACCCTCTGGGAGGTGGACCTACGGTCCATCTCCGGGTCGAGGGTGGTGTTAAAGTCCCCTATCATGATAGTTGGGGCATCGTTCGGAATGTTTTGGAGCAGGGCAAGCCACAGGTCCACCCTGTCAACGGAGTCATTGGGTGCATACACGTTAACAATGTAGAACTCGTCCTCCTCATAAGCCACTTTGAAGCACACCCACCGTCCCTGTTGGTGATCATATTGCATTGACAGCGGTTTGAGTTTGGAGGACGGCGGGAGCCAAATTGCAACTCCAGCCGACGCTCTGTCAACTGCTGGCGCTGAGTAGCTTGTGTAGGGCCATATGAATTTGGCCTTCGCCACGTGCTGGGGTGTGTGTTGAAGGTGAGTTCCCTGAATGCAGACTGCATCAGGCCACCCCCCAGAGACCGGGGATCTAATCATATCCCATATAGCTGTCTTCTTATCTGTTGTTGCTTGGATGAGGCCGTTAACATTGATCGAACGAATGTCTATGTCTGCCCTGGCCAGCTCGACCGCCCAGTGAGGGGGGTTTCTGATCTGAGGAAAGACAGGAGGGGACGGGGGCCGTGGGGGTGGGCGGGGCTGTTGTTGTTGTGCGGGCGGGGCCGGTGCAGCGATCGGGGAGGCGGGAAGAACGAGGTCACGGGTTGGCGGTTGTCCCATGTTAGCCGGGGGTTGTGACGATCCTCGGCTTGTTCGAGCATCGGTCATCTGGTTTGCATGGTTCCTCATAATGCAACAATATTTAGTTGTACCTTAGCTGTAGTAGGCTGTGGTTGTGAATTCAGCATTCAGTTCCCTCAGCCAATCAGTTTGACAGGGAGGACAGCGGGTGGATCATCCCATTGGTTTTGTTCTTGCAACACAATATCCTCCAAGAACAATTGCATAAAAGTGAGGACTTCGGGTTGCGTCCAGGCCCTGCCGGCTGTGAATCGTGTGATGCTGAAGTCCATCAGTTGTTTGTGTGTAAACCAGTTGAGGTTGGCCCTTTTCTGCAGTCTGATTTTAGGATCAATGAGCAGAATCACTGGGATGATGCCTTTGGGAAGTGTGAGAGAGGTGGGCAAGACCGCCCCCATCACCCCTTCTGTACTTGTCTCCCTTACCCAATACTTGAGTCTTTTCAGGATGACCGCCGTGGACGGGTTGCCCCTCCAACCTTCCAGCGTCAGTCTACCCGGGGGCGTAGGTTGAGGCAAGGAAGGGTGTTGTTGCGGCGGCCAAAGGCCCAACACCCACTGCCCTGCTTTCTTCACCCTGGTCAGGGGAAAGATGACTACCCCTGGTGGCATAGTAGGCGGAACTTGGTCGTCGTCCTCCAGCCTCAGCCGATGACCCATCTTTTCAGGTGGGAGGTGTGATATATCCTGGGCTTGGCCAGAGGCACACAAGGCAAGACATTTTCCCTGCTGAGAGAGAAGATCAATCTGCGGTGCAAGGGGGGAGCATATTTGGCGGTCTTCTCCAGCGGACTGTTGTTCATTCACCTCTTCCGGCGGGTCTCTGCACGGGAGGGCGTGCAGCGTATCACACAACTCATGGATGAGCAGTTTAGGTCAGGCGAGACCTTTGTGGCAAAATGCCTCCGATTGCGTGTCTGCTGGGTTGTGGGTAGGGGCCACTTCCGCGGCCCCAAACGTCCTGGTCGCATACTCCTCCATTTTGTCCAGGAATTTATTAACCACGAGGACTATTGCGGCCCCAACATCCATCCAGTCTATAGCCGACACGTTAACATACTTTTCAACAGTCGCCAAGATACGGGGGCTGTACATGAGTACAGTTTTCGCCTCCCCCCAGTATTTGTTGTTGAGCCTATCTGCAGGTTTGTCTTCCGCCACCGAAAAGATCTTGAGCAAAGTCCACTCCGTGAGGAATTTTAATTTATGCTTAACCTCATCATTGGTGGCCAGCGGAGGGGGCGGGGGGGGGCGGGCTGTCTCTGCATAGTTCTGGCGGCGCTGGTACTGCCACCTGGATGTCCATGTCCGTCGGCAGCTGCTAATGATGGGCGTGGCCGTCTTCAATTTGAAGACTCCTGCCCGTCGTACAGCTCTGCAACTGCTGCTCCGGGGCCAGCGGCCCGTGTTCTTGCAGTACGGCTTGCTGCTGCNCGTCTTCAATTTGAAGACTCCTGCCCGTCGTACAGCTCTGCAACTGCTGCTCCGGGGCCAGCGGCCCGTGTTCTTGCAGTACGGCTTGCTGCTGCCAAAATGCCTGCAGCTGTTCCTGTTGCTGGTGTARGACTTGTTGTTGTTGACAACACAGCTGTTGTTGCCACTGCAAGTGCATGTGTTGGAGGAGCTRTTGYTGTTGCAGCATCYGCTGTTGGTGYTGCTGTTGATGGTAMTGCGCGAGTTGGGTTTGCAACAGAATGTGGTACTGCTCTTCGTACTCTCTCTGTCGCATGGCCTGTTGTTGCTGGRGCTGGTGAGCCTGTTGTGTTGTTTGGTGCAGCACTTGGATTTGCGCTTGGTGCAAGCATTGCTGCTGTTGCCGTTGGGCATGYTCCTGCCGTGCCAGCTGCTGTTGCTCATTTTGCCATGCTTGATGTTGTTGCTCAAAGTGCAGCGTGTGTAACTGCTGTTGGTCGAGAAGGGGCACTTCCAATTGTAGGTGTTGGGCACCCTGGTGTTGCGGCAGTTGGCTTGATTGGTGAGAGCCATCGCCCAACTGTTGTGCGTCGGTCATGCAGTGATCCCCGAGAGGCTCCTGGGACGGCGGTAGTTGTTGCCGTTGCTGTTGCTGCGGCTGTTGGGAGGTGGCACCTAGTTGCTGTGTATCCTCCTTGATTTTGTCTGCGAGAGCCTGCTGTGTACGGCCGTGACTGTAGTCGGGGTGGGGGCCGGACGAGTGGCACTGGTGTCGGGCATGGTTTTGTGATTGGTGTTCCGGGGGGGCGGTCAAGATCTGTTGCTGGGGCATGTGCAATTGCTCCTTGTCCCGCTGCAGCTCCCCCACTTTCGGTCGAAGGTGTATTAGATCAGGGGGCTCTGGTTGGATAGACCCCTAGGGGAGCTGCAGTTGCTGATCCACTCCGTCCGTCGACAGGTGTTGTCGCAGGTAGGCGGCTGGATGAGTGGCCCCTTTCGGTCGGGCACACTCCAGGGTGTGTTGTTGCTTTATCGCGGGCA